TGAAGCGAAAGGAATTGATTTTGTTTTGTGAAAAACTAGATTATTTGTTTATTTTGTGGAAAACATTTTTAATGACTTTTTTATGATGAACCACAATATATTGTGGAAGACATACTTTTGTCTTTGTTCTTTTTTATTTTTTATTTTTTTTATTTTTTTAATTTTTTTATGGGTTGGATATATGCTTTTGTCATTAGTGTGCAAATTACATTATGGTATGAGAAATGATGAAGTTATTTTTTCTTTTGTGAATGGTTAATGTAAATTATCTCCCCTTTGTTTTAATTTGCTTTGTACACTGGAATTAGATGTCAATTCACAAGAGAAATAAGTGCATGTTATAACTCACCCAGAAAGAAAATATACCTAAGTCATGCTAGATGTCCATGGAATAGAATGTAATTTGAATTGAAATGATGTAATTTGAATTGAAATGATGAATTTGACTCATCCACGTGATAGTCACATTTATTTAACGGAACACTAACGGAAGTTTGGATTTGGACCTCAATTACTAATAAGGCTCACCACGGGGGTTTAATTAATAACTTTTTCACCACAAAGGTCACATTGAAAGTGCCATGTCACCATAGGGACCAAGAAAAAAAAATTTGGTCTTAAATTTATTATAGTGTTTTTGGTTAGAATGTAAAGTTTTGAAGTCCTTCTCATTTGTTCTTATTATTAAATAATAAAGTTATTTCCCATCAAAAACCTAAATAAAGTTGTTAGAATATTTTTGGTTAAAATTTAAAGTTTTAAAACAATTTCATTAGCTTTCCTTAAAATTAATTGTCTACATCAAACATTCAAATAACGGTATTTTAGGCGTCCAAAAGACGTATAATGTGTAAAGTCAAACATAATAAAGGAATTTGCTTATGTAGAGTTTAGTCACTAGGTTTACTCGAGAAAAAAAATTATGTAGATTTTATATGGAAAAAATTGAATATCAAGAACTAAAGTCACATTTTCAATAGTTTTTAACATCTTATAAAAAACAAACTTTAGTTGTAAATTATTACCGTAATTCTGGTGATGCTATAAATGTCCTTTGCACATGGCTTTTTTTCTCAAGTTCTCACTCTCTATATTCATAGGAGCCTATATATCCTCTCTTCTCTAAGGGTGTGTTTACATATCCATAATCGGAATGAGAATGAAATTGAATTCCGATTATGGAGTATTACAGTGTTTACTAAACATGGAAGAATCAAAAAAGCAGTGGGACCCGTACAAATTTTGGAATTCAATTCCTTGTGTTGGTGGAATTAGATTCCCTAGATATACGTGGTAATCCAATTCTTGATTGTTTGGGTAATCGAAATGATACTTTTGTTCCCCTTATGCCCTCACTTACTTTTTCTATTTCCAAGACTATCCTTTATAAACCTATGAAAGTATATAAAATATTTGGTTTGGGACAAGGGCATTTTAGTAATCATACAGGTTTATATTCCGATTCTGCTGAATTAGTGAACAGTTTTATGGAATTCTATTCCAATTCCAGAACATTTAATTAAACAGTTTCAACAGGAATCTGATTCTGACTTCTCCTTATTCCAACTCATTCTCAATTCAATTCTTTCTCAATTCAATTTCTCTTATTTTCGTTACTGCTACGTAAATACGTCATAAGGCTGTCTCCAGAGAGAGTGGGCCCAAAACCTCTCTAAAGGCTGTATTTTAGGTTTTGGAACCCATGGAAAAAAGTGGGCGAGGGTCCCAGCTTGCAGGCAAACCCACGTGAAGACAGCCCATGCGAGCCCTGCACAAGAGAGGCATCCAAGTAGACAGATTGTATGCGGGCGAGTGCACAAAACTCGGCCCTTCTGTGGTCCAGATTATAGAGCCGGTGCCTTCCAATTATGGGATGTGCTTTGGGTTTTGGTCTAGCGTGTTGCTTAAATCTAATTTAATCAATTTTAAGGTAAAATTTAAAGAACTTTAATAAAAAAATTTCGGTATTGTTTACTTTAACGAAAAATCACATTTTTACATTAAAAAGTCAATGCTGTTACTATTCATTTTACCCTTTATTTTATCCTTATCGTTAAAACTCAAAATTTTCAAGCATTTTTCATTAGTTTTCCTAAAAATCCAATAGCTCAAGTTTAAATCCAAGGTCAAAATAATATTATCAATCAGTTGAAATCAGATTAAATATCAAAACTCCTCCAAATCTCTATAAATACCCATCCATTTGTTGACTACTAATCCATAAATTTTCTCAACAATTTTCTTTCGAAATTTGATATTTTTTACATTAAAATACTCGTAAAAATAAAACAAGATAGATTATACAAAAAATGATTCTCAAATTATTAGCCAAAAAAAAAATCAACGAAATACAAAACTTAACAAATTATAAAGTTGGGGTGGGAATTATAAGTCCCTTACTGTTGGAGAGAAAAACTGACTAATCTCATATGTATAGATGCATAGTTGAAATGCAGGGCTAAATTTTGAGATTTTAGACACTTGAGTTGAAGATAACCTAAGAAGATTCTTAAATCTCTTTCCAGGTTACTTGAAAATGCAGGTTTAAACGATATAAGTAGGACTCAATTACCTTGCTCAGAACCCAATCTAAAAAGTGGTTTATCACTAAAGTCATCTAATAAATCAATAAGGAATTTGTGGAACAATTGACGGATGGTAATTGTATCTTCTCATGAACAAGTCATTGATGGGTATGAGTTCCACAATGACTTGTTCATGAGAAGATACAATTACCATTCACAAACAAACATAACATTAAGAGTCCACAATTACATAGCATACGAGTTTCACAGAATCTGAATGGTACAAAGAGATCCTATTTAACAAGGATTATTTTACACAGATACAATCTAGATCCTATCTTAATTAATCCTGTTAACCTAAAATACACCATTGACTAATATTAAATACAATTACAGCAATTAAAGAAATCATATGTCTTAATACAATCATAGGCAAATCGTATCACAACATACAATCACACAATTCGTTTCCTATCCTTCATAGAACTGAGAGGGCAGGCGTGGGATTAGCATAACTTCAAGTGAATAAGTCGCCTTTCGCCTAGCAATGCCTAGTCCTTCAGTCATGTCCATAGGCATGTCCGGTGCCAATTCAAACCCTTAAATCAATGTACCAAATGTCAAGTGGATAACTTGCATTGCGAATGTGAGACCTGGACAAGATCTTCTTCCAGACCCAAATGTAATGAACTCAAAATGCTGACCAGAGGCATCAATGCTCGCTTGGGTTGTAAGAAACCTATATGTGGAAAATACTTTAGGGTCTAACCACACAGTTGGGTCCCTGTACAATTTCCACAAGTTCACAAATAAGCGTGTGCCCTTGGGAATGTGAAAGTCAGAAACTTGGCAGTCTTCCATTGCCTCATGTTGAACTGAGAGTGGGGCTGGTCGATATAGGCGCAGAGTTTCCTTAACAATAGCTTGGAGGTAAATTAGGCTTTTGATATCAGTGTCTTTAACCCATCTCTCCCTGCAAACTTGTAAGTCTAGCTCTTCTTTGGCGAGCTTTAAAACATCCCTGTTGTTTAGTAACAAACACAGGATCCATGTCAATGTGGTTGATGTGGCTTCCGTTCCAGCTAAGATTAGATTCTGCGACATGAAAATTTGACAGTGTGAAAAATAGTGTTTTTTTTTTTTTTTTTTTTTTTTTTGTCAAACAATAGATTTGTTAGATTATATGTTAGTTTAGGGGGCCGATGGGGTTCAAACTCATGTCGTGGTGTAAGAGCAACACCATTCTCCACCAATGTGGTAAAGGGCCACTTGCATGAAAAATATAGTGTTCAATTTACTATCTATGGATCCTAATTATAGGACTTTAATGAGTCATTCTTTTGTATAATCACAAATTAATGTGTGTATATAAATGTTTCTTTTAAGAATTTAATGAGTTGTCGATTGTCAGGTCCGGAATGGGTGGATAAGCATGGCTTATCACCAGTTGTCCTATGGGTAACCATAAATCCAACCTAACTAGAATTTACGCAATCACATGTGCTAATAATGCCCTACATCACGATGTCTCAAATGATTATGACAAAGCAAAGTTTCAAGTACAATTCCAAATGTAAGGTCAGCCACATAGTAGCTTTCTACGAAGCGAATGATTGTAGTGTACAATCCATTGAAAATACGCTATATCTTCCTTAAAATATAGTTCTGGCCAAATTCGTAGGAAGTTATGCAAAGAAACTCAAACTCCAGGATAATTATTATCTCGAATGTCTTTAAAGCTCAACATCGTTCTTCCAAAACGTGGAGAATAAAGAGCCTCTTGAATGGTCAATTCAATAGCACCGACCAACATTATGATGGCAGTACTGTATTCCTAAATTAGGTTCGATGGGTTTGAAAGGGTTGTCAGAGGTGATATTTTAGGCATGAAGTTAGTAGAATACATATGGTCACACAACATAGTGTGTGTGGTTGCATTATCTGCTAGACAACTAACTTCCTCACTAGTCATACCTAGAAATAAATTAATTGAATTAGTCACAAGTATAAAGAAATTTAAAATTTCATTCATTCAATTAATTATTCGAGAAATAATATCAATAAATTCAATATCCAAAAATTAAAACAAACACCAAACAACTAGTCTAAATAAATGAAATTGTTCAAAACTTAAACCAATAAAATAATGGGAGTTTTACCAAAACACTCCCCGTACTGTTCACTTTTAACTGAAAACCACATTTATACATTTCTCTAGTACTATTCACTATACCTTTAAAAATGACTTTTCATTAAAATGAAAGATTTTTTGAACTTTTCGTTAGTTTTTTTTAAATAATAGGAAATTTGGCCACATGGGGAAATCGGCCAACAGGGTGAATACAGTCAACATGTGGCCTATGTATAAGAATCTATTCTTCTATTGGAGCAGATGCTTCCTAAAAGTCAAAAATCTCTATCTGTGTATCTTCGGCTTTCTTTATTTGAGCAAAGTTTGTTTAAACTTTTGACGACATGAATGGTACTCAGTAAGTGTTCCAACCAATATATATTCAAGAGAATATACTATTTCCCACATTTCTAGTACAAAGATTGCGGATTGGACCCTCTTTAGAATAAACCAAACTCTGTCAATAAAACAGAAACTCTGTCCATAAAACAGAGTTGTTTAACTACAACTTAATTTGAAAGAAAGAAGAAATTCCAAAATAACGAACAAGTAGAAAATGGAGACCTAAACAAAAGGCTCAAAGTTAATCCAAGTAAAAACCAATACAAACTTCAAAACCATTTGAATGTCAATCTAAATATCTTATCATCTGCATACAGGAAGGAATTAGAAAGCCTATTAAACAGAACAAGAGGCGGAAATGAGATACTAATATGAATATACTTGCAAAGTTATCTGTGAATTTGCTGCAACAGATAACAACTCCAATTTCCTTGTACAAGCCGGCTCCAATTCGCTACAAACCAAACAAGAAAATCAAAATCATAAAGAAAATGCAATCACTTGTACGCTAAACCACACAGCATACACAAACTTCAGAAATTCAAACAACAAAAAGAAACAAAATATTTAGAGTTGTGATTGATCGTAGCTCTCCATTATGCTGTTTACCATTATAGTTTTTTATGTTGCAGAATGATCGTAGCTGGCTCCGATACCACAGCAACCAGCTTGAAGTGGATCATCTCTTTACTATTAAATAATAAGCATGCTTTGAAGCATGCACAAGAAGAGATAAACCTAAAAGTTGGCAGAGAGAGATGGGTTGAAGACACTGATATCGAAAACCTGACTTATCTCCAAGCCATTGTCAAGGAAACCCTACGTCTATATCCTCCAGGTCCATTCTCAGTCCCACATGAAGCAATGGAAGATTGCCAAGTTTGTGGCCTTCACATTCCAAAGGGCACACGTTTATTTGTCAATTTGTGGAAATTGCACAGAGACCCAACTGTGTGGTCAGAGCCCGAAGTGTTTTCTCCAGATAGGTTTGATGCCTCTGGTCAGCATTTTGAGTTCATTCCATTTGGGTCTGGAAGAAGATCTTGTCCAGGTCTCACATTTGCAATGCAAGTTATCCACTTGAATCTTGGTAGATTGATTCAAGGATTTGAATTGGCTACTCCATTGGACATGTCTGTGGACATGACTGAAGGACTAGGCGTTACTTTGCCAAAGGCAACTTCACTTGAAGTTGTGCTAACTCCACGCTTGCCCATTGAATTCTATGAAAGATAGGCATTGGGTTGTGATTATAATTTATATGCCATGTAATTGTTGACTCTTAATGTCGTATTAGTTTGCGAACGATATTTGTATCTTTTCATGTGAAAACCATCAATGAATGTGGGTCCCAAGGTAAGATATACGCAACCGTTTCATAAAACTCTTTTGTTGACTCTTAATGTCGTATTAGTAATTGATGCTATAAAAACACTTTAATAGCATTTAAGAAGAATAAAAAAGGATATTAATTGGATGCTATAGAAACTACTTTTTCTAGCAGTTGTGGAAAAAGCAGTCATCTACTGAATTTTCAAACCACATGGATTGAAAAACGCCAATATAGTCAAAATCAAATATCTTGTTGAAGATGGGTAAGAGAAACTTAAGCCAATACAAAAACATTTGAATGCTTAGTGGGGCCAACAACAGAGTTATCACATTTAAACTTGTGTGATGATACAACGATTTCACCATCAACAAACCATGAACAAATTGAAAGTTCAACTTTTATGCACAACATATTTTGAGCACCTTCTTGTCACCATAGCCAGCAGCGGCACATCATGGATTTTCCTTCTCATCTTCTGGCAATTGCAGGGATTTTACTCTTTGTTCTGTATCTATGGAGGGTAAAAATCCAAAGTCACAAAACCAAGGGCGTCTTGACCCCACAACCATCAGGTGCCCTGCCAATCATAGGACACCTCCACAAACTTGGAGGCAAAAACCCACTTTGCAGAACCCTAGCATCCATGGCTGACAAGTACGGTCCAATCTTCACCATACGGCTTGGCAAGCACCCTGCACTTGTGATCAGCAACCATGATGCAGTCAAGGAATGCTTCACTAAAAACGACATCGTTTTCGCAGCGAGACCAAAGTCGGCACATGGCAGGTACCTTGGTTACAATTATGCAGGTTTCGGGTTCTCACCATACGGCACGTACTGGCGTAACATGAGAAAAATGGTCATCGCTGAGTTGCTATCTAGCCGCAGGCTTCAGACATTAAAACATGTCCAAATCTCCGAGGTTGATTCTTTTATCAAGGGGTTGTACGAAATTTGCAAAACAAAGGGGGGAAATGGTCAAAGCAAGGTGGTGATTAGCGAGTGGATTGAGCACCTGACTTTGAATGTAATTACTCAAATGATTGCTGGGAAGAGGTATTTTGATTGGGGTAAAGTGGGAAATGACTCAGATAATGAGGGAGAGAATAAGAGGATTCGGGAAATCGTGAAGGAGTTTATGCTTGTGTCTGGGATGCCAGTCATTTCTGATATGATTGGGTATCCGGATTGGATTGATTTTCTGGGGCAAGTGAAGAATATGAAGCGTATAGGGAAGGAGTTGGATGCTCTAACGGCAAGTTGGATTGAAGAACATAATAATGCAAGGAAGGAGATCGACTCAAGGGACAAGCTCGACTTCATTGATGTCATGCTTTCTGTGATTGAGGACAATACTGTGCTTGGTCATACTCGTGAAACCATCATCAAGGCAACATCGCAGGTATCTTCTTCTAACTGAGACTTTATCTCCAGATCCACATCTCTTTAGGATATGTTGGTATATTCATTACAACTTTACTTTGCTAAACAGAGGCTCAAAGTTTATCCAAGTCAAAATCAATACAAACTTCAAAACCAATTGAATGTCAATCTAAATATCTTATCATCTGCATATAGGAAGAAATTAAGCTTATTTAACAGAACAAGAGGCGGAAATGAGAATACTCATATAAGTATACTTCACTTGCAAAGTTAATTAACTGCGAATTTGCTGCAACCATATAACAACTCCAATTCACTTGTACTCTAATCACACCAGATAGATTATGCAATACAAACAACAAATCATCAAAAATTACTAAAAATTAAACCTCCCACACCAAATCCGAGTGCTGTATAAGCAACTCTTACTCGTCTTGCTCCTGCTAACAAAAGAAGCAAAATCATTAGAATTGACACATGTACACAAATAATTCACTAAAATCAAAAGTAAAAAACTTATGCACACTTGTCAGATTGTAATTATATATGAGAAAGAATGACTCGTGACTTATAAAGAAACAAGCATTTTCCTCGTTATGATCCCTAACTGGAAGTACATGTTTGAAAATTGGGGCACTCCATTTTGCTGTTCACCATTTATAATTTTTTATGTTGCAGAATCTGATCATAGCTGGCTCAGATACCACAGCAATCAGCTTGAAGTGGATCATCTCTTTATTATTAAACAACAGGCATGTTTTGAAGCATGCACAAGAAGAGATAAACCTAAAAGTTGGCACAGAGAGATGGGTTGAAGACACTGATATCGAAAACCTAACTTACCTCCAAGCCATTGTCAAGGAAACCCTACGTCTATATCCTCCAGGTCCACTCTCAGTCCCACATGAAGCAATGGAAGACTGCCAAGTTTGTGGCTTTCACATTCCAAAGGGCACACGTTTATTTGTCAATTTGTGGAAATTGCACAGAGACCCAACTATGTGGTCAGACCCTGAAATGTTTTACCCAGATAGGTTTCTTACAACCCAAGCAAGCATTGATGCCTCTGGTAACCATTTTGAGTTCATTCCATTTGGGTCTGGAAGAAGATCTTGTCCAGGTCTCACATTCGCAATGCAAGTTATCCACTTGACTCTTGGTAGATTGATTCAAGGATTTGAATTGGCTACTCCATTGGACATGCCTGTAGACATGACTGAAGGACTAGGCGTTACTTTGCCAAAGGCAACTTCACTTGAAGTTGTGCTAACTCCACGCTTGCCCATTGAATTGTATGAAAGATAGGCATTGGGTTGTGATTATATGCTATGTAATTGTAGACTCTTAATGTTGTGCCTGTTTGTAAATGGTATTTGTATCTTATCATGTGAAAACCATTAATAAAAAAAAGCCCCGTGTAGGGTACACGCAACTGCCTCTATAAAACTCTTTTGTTAAAAGTAGTAATTTGGTAGTATATGAGATGACTAAAAAAGTTTAGTGTTTTGATCCTAATTTTTTACTTATTTTTATATGGCTATAATGTGATACATCACTAGTATAATTTATGAATATCACATTTTTTTTTTATTGTGAAAAAGGGATTTTCAACTCCGCCTATGTCTTACATGGCCGGTCCCAAGCCCGGATAAAGGAGGAGGGGGAGGGCGTCAGGTAGTCGACAGCCGGCACTCCATGATCACGTCGAATCCTTATGAAAATGAATCCAGAACAAAATCGAACTATAGGGGTATTAAGCTAATGAGTCATACAATGAAGCTCTGGGAGAGAGTCATTGAGCATAGATTGAGGCAAGAGACACGGGTTTCGGACAACCAATTCGGGTTCATGCCAGGGCGCTCAACCATGGAGGCAATCTATCTCTTACGAAGATTGATGGAAAGATATAGAGATGGGAAAAAGGATTTACACATGGTCTTTATAGATTTGGAAAAAGCGTATGATAGGGTCCCAAGAGACATTCTTTGGAGGATTTTAGAGAAGAAAGGAGTACGAGTAGCATATATCCAAGCTATAAAGGATATGTATGAAGGAGCAAAGACTGCCGTAAGAACTCATGAAGGACAAACCGAAAGCTTTCCCATAACTGTAGGATTACATCAAGGCTCATCCTTAAGTCCTTACCTTTTTGCGTTGGTAATGGATGAGTTAACACGACATATTCAAGATGATATTCCTTGGTGTATGCTTTTCGCAGACGATATAGTGTTGATAGATGAAACTCAGGAAGGGGTAAATGCAAAGCTTAACCTTTGGAGAGAAGTGTTGGAATCTAAAGGTCTTCGCCTAAGCCGATCAAAGACAGAAATATATGGAGTGCAAGTTCAGTGCAAATGGAGGTCAAAACGAGTTAGGGGTGAGGATCGGAGATCAAGAAATACCAAAGAGCGACCGTTTTCGTTACCTAGGATCTATCTTGCAAAAGAACGGAGAATTAGATGGAGATCTCAACCATAGAATACAAGCTGGATGGATGAAGTGGAAGAGTGCATCCGGCGTGTTGTGTGACCGCCGTATGCCACTGAAGCTCAAGGGAAAATTTTATAGGACGGCAATAAGGCCGGCGATGCTGTATGGCACAGAATGTTGGGCGGTGAAACATCAACACGTACACAAAATGGGTGTAGCGGAGATGAGGATGCTTCGTTGGATGTGTGGGCACACGAGAAAGGATAAGATTAGGAATGAGGATATCCGGGGTAAAGTAGGAGTAGCCGAAATTGAAGGAAAGATGAGAGAAAAATCGGTTACGGTGGTTTGGACATGTGCAAAGAAGGCCTACTGACGTTCCGATTAGAAGATGCGACTATGGGACAAGAGGTTCAGGGCCGAAGGGGTAGAGGAAGACCTAGGAAAACTTTGGAAGAGACTCTAAGAAAAGACTTAGAGTACTTAGATCTAACGAAGGACATGACACAGGATCGAGCACAATGGCGTTCTAAGATTCATATAGCCGATCCCACTCAGTGACTTGGATTTTCCAAGTCTCCAACTAAGAAGTTTTCCTCACTCGGGAAATTAAGGGAACACTACCCCAACCTACATGCTCCACTCAGAAAGCTTCAACATACAAGCTTTAACAAAAGAAAATTCAAAGAACTTAGCGAAGAAGGCTTTGGTGTATTTAACACAATACGTTGAAATGAAGGAAAGCTTATTTATTGATATCCCCGATAAGCTACAAATATGTACATATACATGAGTCAAAATAAGCACACAAGAGGGAGCCTTCACAAAGGTTGCTTAGGAGAAGTCTCAGCAGTCGGTAGAGCCCCAGAAAGAGAAGGCACCGGAGGGGGATCATTTGGAGCCTCAGTACTGGACAGAACCCTAGAAGGAGGAGGCATCAGAGGTTGATCATTTGGAGCTTCATTACGCGGTACAGCCCCAAAAGACGAAGGCAATAAATGCCTTTGGAACAAACCCACAAATCTCTGATGATCAAGTAAAACCTGACCATCAGTTTCCTTCATCTGGTCAAGCTTCCTCTTCATGTTTGTAGCATAGTCATGTGCGAGCCGGTGCAACTGTTTATTCTCATGCTTGAGCCCTCTAATCTCCTGTTTGAGACTCATCACTTCAGCCGCCAATGATTCAACTTGGCGGGTTCGAGCAAATAGGCGTTGGGCCATATTAGACACAGAACCTGCACACTGAACACTGAGAGCCAGCGAATCCTTAACAGCTAACTCATCAGACCGTTTGGAAAGTAGTCTGTTATCTTTGGGAGTGAGAAGGTTCCTGGCCACCACCGCAGCGGTCATATCATTCTTTATCACGGAATCCCCAACGGTAAGAGGACCAGTAGGGGAGACGAAGGATGGGCGCCATATGTTGTCTGGAGAAGGCGGGGCTGCCTCTTCAACAAGGTTCAAGTCAAAACGACGGTCGGAGGGGCCAGACATTTTCAAAGGTGTTGAAGAGAGAAGAGGTCGGACAAATCAAGATCTTAGAAGTGCAAGAATGAAGCTTCTACTGGTGGAGATTCAAGTGTGCTTTGGAACTTAATGCCAGCCCCTATAAAAATCTGCACTCGACGAAGCTTCAGAAATCGAAGAGGCGCCTGCTCAGAAATCGAAGAGGCGTTTGCTTTCTCAAAAGCTGGGCTGCTTAGAGATCACGAGGGTTGATCTCAGAAATCGAAGAGGCGTTTGCTTTCTCAAAAGTTGGGCTGCTCAAAGACCACGAAGGCCGATCTCAAAAATCGAAGAGGCGCTCGCTTTCTCAAAAGCTGGGCTCCCCAGAGACCACGAGGGCCGATCTCAGAAATCGAAGAGGCACCTACTTTTCCAGCCTTTTCCAGCCTTGTCAGCACCTGTCACACGCACACTCAGTTTTGCGGAAATTATGGGCATTCTGTCAAAGACTTCTGGGGAAGTAGAAAACACATGAATCTTACTGTTCAATCACCCACTTCCCACACGCAACAATAGCTCATGGGTACCACAGATAACTTTGCCAAAGTTCTCTGCCAAAGTTGAGCACGTGAAGCTTGCAGCTCCCACTACATCGCTCTGACCAAGAAGGGTAAAAGAATAGCAAAGAAACAGCACTAACAAAGTTTAGACCCATAAATTTTGAAGGTCTAGCTACCATATTATTACCCACAAGGGTAAAGGAACAGTACCACTGCTGGATAATTGGAAAGTCCCTGTGTGTCAACCTCTGTGCTTCGTGGCAAGGTAGACTAGCAAACATGCCCAACCTTTACTCACATTCGAGAAAACACTCCCAATAAGATTGCTTGCTCCAAAATCGAAGAGGCACCGTCCTCCGAATCTCGAGAGCCAGACTTCCAACATGACTACTTTCTTAAAAATCGAAGAGAGGGTAAAGGAACAGTACCATTGCTGGATAATTGGAAAGTCCCTGTGTGTCAACCTCTGTGCTTCGTGGCAAGGTAGACTAGCAAACATGCCCAACCTTTACTCACATTCGAGAAAACACTCCCAACAAGATTGCTTGCTCCAAAATCGAAGAGGCACCGCCCTCCGAATCTCGAGAGCCAGACTCCCAACATGATTACTTTCTCAAAAAATCGAAGAGACACTGCTCCTCGAATCTCGAGAGCCAGACCCCCAGCATGATTGCTTTCTCAAAAATCGATGAGGCATCGTTCTCCGAATCAATCGAAGAGGCGCTCGCTTTCTCAAAAGCTGGGCTGCTCAGAGACCACGAGGGCCGATCTCAGAAATCGAAGAGGCACCTACTTTTCTAGCCTTGTCAGCACCTGTCACACGCACACTCAGCTTTGCAGAAATTATGGGCATTCTGTCGAAGACTTCTGGTGAAGTAGAAAGCACATGAATCTTACTGTTCAATCACCCACTTCCCACACGCAACAATAGCTCATGGGTACCACAAATAACTTTGCCAAAGTTCTCTGCCAAAGTTGAGCACGTGAAGCTTGCAGCTCCCACTACATCGCTCTGACCAAGAAAGGTAAAAGAATAGCAAAAAGAAACAGCACTAACAAAAGTTTAGACACATAAATTTTTGAAGGTCTAGCTACCATATTATTACCCACAACTGTAAAGGAACAGTACCACTGCTGGATAATTGGAAAGTCCCTGTGTGTCAACCTCTGTGCTTCGTGGCAAGGTAGACTAGCAAACATGCCCAACCTTTACTCACATTCGAGAAAACACTCCCAATAAGATTGCTTGCTCCAAAATCGAAGAGGCACCGTCCTCCGAATCTCGAGAGCCAGACTCCCAACATGACTACTTTCTCAAAATCGAAGAGAGGGTAAAGGAACAGTACCATTGCTGGATAATTGGAAAGTCCCTGTGTGTCAACCTTTGTGCTTCGTGGCAAGGTAGACTAGCAAACATGCCCAACCTTTACTCACATTCGAGACAACACTCCCAACAAGATTGCTTGCTCCAAAATCGAAGAGGCACCGCCCTCCGAATCTCGAGAGCCAGACTCCCAACATGATTACTTCCTAAAAAATCGAAGAGACACTGCTCTCCGAATCTCGAGAGTCATACCCCCAGCATGATTGCTTTCTCAAAAATCGAAGAGGCATCGTTCTCCGAATCTCGAGAGCCAGATACCACAGACCACTTTTTCAAAGTGCTCTGACAGAGTTAAAACATGTGAAACTGGCAGCTCCCACTACCGTGCTATGACCAAGCAGGGTAAAGGAATAGCATTACTACTTGTTGTTAGGGAGACTCCTATATATGTCGACCTCCATCCCCAACGGACAGGCAGACCTGCAAAAATGCTCAACCCTTCATCATATCTGAGAGGGCACTCCCAACGAAGCCTTTCGAAATATTCAGCTTTCTTTCCCCCCGATAATACCTCTGCAAACAAGCTATACTAGAGCAAGAATATCTCATATCATCAGGGTTAAAAGCAAGAGTATCCCATATCATGCTTTTTCCCTGTCTTTTCTTTTGG